TATATGGTTATATATATATGGTTATATATATATGGTTATATATATGTGGTTATATATATATATATATATGGTTATATATATATATGGTTATATATATGGTTTTATATATATATGGTTATATATATTTATATATATATGGTTATATATATATTTGGTTATATATATATTTGGTTATATATATGATTTTATATATATACATTTATATATATGGTTATATATATGGATATATATATATATGTGTGTATGTATATGTTGTAGTTGGACACAATACATTTATTTTATTTATTTATTTTTATGTGGTACTGAGGATCGAATCCTGGACCTCACACATGCTAGATGAGCATTCTACCACTGAGCCACAACCTCAGCCCCCACATGTCAACTAGTTTTATCTTTGCTCAGTGTGGACCACATTGTCTTCCATGGAATTCTGATCAAGGTAGCTCAACATTAGATGGCCATTTAATTTTCTGTGCTCTGATATTTGCAGGATATGGGACAGAGATTCTGGCCTTCTTTGGCCTTTGCCTGGGCTCTTTGGCTACTTCAGTCAGCCAAGAATACAACACCATTCAGAAGGCATACCTTGCTAGTGACTGGCTCAGTACATGGTTTCAGTGGGATCTGGACCACAAAGCCCCAGTTCTATACCATCAGGGTTGCACTCACAGGGTATGGGCCTTCTCCAAATCCTCCAGATCTCACCAGTCTTTCATCACAGGGCACATGCCTCTATTTTACCAGCCTTCCATTGCTAAAATTTTGCTTCAAGGAAGAGCTTACAATGGCAAACTTCTGACGGCTCCTAAACCTGGAGTTGGGAAAATAGCTCAATGATAGATTGCTTGCCTAGCATGCCTAAAGCCTGGGGTTTGATTCCCAGCACTGAAAAGCTAATAATTCCCAAACCCGGCTAGTCAGAATCACTTGATGAACTTGTTAAAAATATGGAATCCCAGGCCTTAAAGGTATGGATTCCCAGGCCACATCCCAGATATAGTGAATTTGAACCTCCAGGGGTGATTCCCAGGAATCTATATGAGTAATGAGCTCTTGGACCTAGCCCAACCCACCTCCTGTTCACTCACTGGTGTTTAGGAATAAAAGTGAACTAAACTCAATCCTCCTCTATGTGTGCTCTTCGATGCATCAAACTCCACTTTTAGGGGTCATTGCCTTTGACTTGTTTCCCTTTAATGTGCAAATAAACACTCTAGGAAAGATTTCTTGTCGGGGCTGCCACATAGCAACTGAGAGCATCCCTTAGCCCTGAGTGATGAGAATGTGGAGATGTCGCAAGCCAGCCATGGGCTGTGTGTGTGTGAACTATGAGCAGTGAGAGCACAAAGTGGACTGAACTGACATCACCTCTCTGTTTGGGTAGTCCTCACTCTGGTCTTTTCGCTGGCTCTGCCTATGATGCCCACACAGCTCATAAGATGGGCATGGCCTTCCTAGATGTCAGCCAATCTGCTGACAGCAGATGTCAAGAAGCTAGACTCAACTCCCTGACCCCTTTGCCCTTTTTGGGATAGAATGTTCCATGGAAACTTGTGTGTTCCCTATATATAAGAATAAAGAATTCCAGTGGCTCTCTCTCTTTCCAAGGACACTTAAGGTCGAAGAGCCATCTCCGAATTACTGAAAAGATATTTCTGTGTGGTTGCATGCTTTCTTTGTCATTTTCTTGAGTTACTGGAATAGTCAGATTTTGTAAACCCAGCATTAGGTCACCAGCTAGAATAGTGACAATCTCTTATCATTGACACATTATATATCTCTAACTAGTCTTTCAGAAAAAGCATGTCACCTTCTCCCTTGGTTTTGATAGGTTAATTCAGAAAGGGAAAGGAGAATAGGGCACAGTGGTGCGCGCCTGTAATCCCAGCAGCTCTGGATGCTGAGGCAGGAGGATCAAGAGTTCAAAGCCAGCCTCAGCAATGGCAAGGGGCTAAGGAACTCAGTGAGACCTTGTCTCTAAAAAAAAAATACAAAATAGGGGTGGGGATGTGGCTCGGTGGCGGAGCACCCTTAGTTCAATCCCTGGTACCCCTCCCGCCCCCCCCCCCCCCCCCCTCTGCCAAAACAAAAAGAAAGGGAAAGGAGACATAGAAAAGGAAGTTTACCTTTCTTCAGTGCTAACTCCATACTCCCAACTCCCTCTGGGCAGTGGTAGTTTTTGTGTGTGTTTGTAGGGTGGGGAGGGGAGGTTACAGGGGATTGGATTCAGGGACACTCAACCACTAAGACACATCCTCAGCTCTTTTTTGTATTTCATTTAAAGACAGGTTCTCACCGAGTTGCTTAGTGCCTCGCTGTTGCTGAGGCCGGCTTTGAACTCATGATCCTCCTGCCTCAGTCTCCCAAGCCGCTGGGATTACAGGTGTGCACCACCATGCCTGGTCTGGGCAGTGTTTTATGGTTGTTCCCAACCATAGACATTCTTTCCCAACCATAGCCATGTTTTGGGGGAGTAAACATTAGTTGTGTGCATATGTGTGTTATACAAGTTCTACTCACACTGTTTTTCAATTAGATGACAGACATTAAAAGGACAAACATTTTTCTAGGTACAACAGATTTATGTTCTATACCATAGACTTTCTCCTCCAAAGATGAAAAAAAGCAGTTACAATGTGAGTGGGGAACACAGCCAACAGGATTGATGTTACTCCCCCGAAAAGATATGTCTGTGTCATTCTGCCACAGTTTGAGTATCTGCCGTTGGCTGCTGCTCCATCTGACAGCTTTGCTCACTCAGAAAGCATGAGCAAAATCCTTCTCGCAACAGCCCAGGAGCTCTGCTTTCCCAGATGCTCCCGCAGATGTCAAATCACGTGACGGTTTGGCTCAGCAAACCCTGTAAGCAGCTCAGCTTCTCCCCTAACTTTCAATAAGGGCATTTGTTACCACAGCTTGCCCTGAAAGCTGCTGCTATCCAACCTAAGCTGAAGTCCTGATGGAGGTTTGTTCTGGGATGAATGCTGTCCTTGCATAGGTGGCTTGACTTCTCTGGAAGTGAATGTTTCTAGCCCCTGAATTGCTAGGGGGCTGCATGGCAAGTGCTGGTGTTGATGAAACACTGAAGTGGACATATTGAAGTCTATGGTGTGTCTGGATAGGAAATCACTGAATTTCTGCTAAATAGAGCTTTTATGCTTCCAGGGCTCTTTTATGCTTCTGGTGCACTCTGGCAGCCTTCCAGAGGAATTTCTGGATCTTTATCTTCAGAGTCCTCTCCACAGCTGACATTGAATTCCTCTGCAGGTGATGACACACCTGACCTTGCCCTCAGGAAGCAGTCAGAGTTACTTTTGTAAAGGCCAGAAGAGCTTTATCTATCCTAGAGGAATTTAATATTCTAATAGATCTTTTCCATCTCTAACAGTTGAAACAACGCTGCAAAAAAGAAATGGGAAGAATTTTTTAAATAAACACAAAAGTTTGCTGTGGATTCACACCAAATCAATTTACATTACTCACTTGGTCAAGTCTCTGTTTTTATCTGGGACTTACTGTATCATTCTGCATTCCTTTTCCCTCTGTAAATCACTGGAAAGGACAGGAAGGGAAGAAGCAGTAAGACACATTAAATATGCAGACATTTTTTTAAACTAAAGAGCACAAATGTCCCTGAGGTTTTATTTGTGTTTTGATTTGAAATGCAGCAATTTACAGCTAGTAAGGAGGAAACTGAGACAATCTGACTGTTCAAAAGGCAAAGTGTTCAAACTCACCAGCAATTTCTGACTAACCAGGGTTATCTCTCTGGCTTTATGAAATAAATGCATCTGAAGAGTCTTTTTGAACTCAGACTACTGGCTCAAGACAAGGAACTTTCTTCCATCCACAGGCCAAATGGCTGTGTTCCACAGGGAGCCCCAATATTTCATTCATTTAGGGAGTTGTGCAGGGGGAACATAAACCTGTCCAACTGCTAAGCAGTTGTGGACAAAAATATTCCTCAAAGTTTCCCCAGTATGTGCAGGTGACACCCTCATGGTGAGGATAAAGGATGCCCCATGGGGTGATGTCAGACACAAACCCTCCACTTTTTACTTCAAATAGGTTATTTTCCTCTTCCTTTCAAGATGCGTCTAATTTTCAGTACCTGAGCTGTGGTTTTCAAACTTTAAGTTGTATCAGAATCACCTGAAGGACTTGTTAAAACAAAGATGACTGGGCTCAGCCCCAGAATTTTTGATTCAGTAGGTCTTTGGTGGAGACCCAGAAATTTCATTTCTGAAAGCTTTTCAGATGATGATGATGTTGTTGGCTCCAGGACCACACTTTGAGAATAAATGAGTTAAGGTGTTATAAAAATATTATGAGGGCTTAGGTTAAAATATAATTACCTTAGTTAAGAGTAGCATGTTAAAATCTTAATAACTGGCACATACTATAATAGAGTATAATACGAGATTAAATTGATTCTGAATTAGTAACTACCATTTATTAATTACTTACGATGAGCACTGTATCTAGTAAGTTACATTTCATTTAATTCTCATTAGGTTTTATGAAATGATTATGATTTATTCCAATTTTCAGTTGAGAAAACATGGGCTTAGAGAGAACTGAGGCAATTTGATATAATATATATGTAAATATAAAATAATATCAGCAGAATTTGAATCTAGATCTGTCTCTTAGAAAGTCAATTCATGCAGGTGACAAGCTTTAGGATAATCCAGGAGTCAAGAAAGACCAAAAGTCTTAGATCAACAACATTCCCAAGGCTCCCCAGATCATATCCTGAGGCTCCACATAAGCCAGGGTTCTGATTTGACTTGTCCTGTGTACTGGGAGAATACTAAAACTGGAGACAGCAATTTAGAACTTCCTCCTATATACAACAATTTCCATATGATTATAGAGGTCTTCAAAGGACCTGGCTTAAAGGTTTTTAAAGATCTTGCAGGATTTCTACAAGGATTTACTTCATGAGAAGGGCCTATTTCAGGTTGATGACAGACTTGCAAGGATAAGTCGCAGCCCAAAGACACAGAAAAGAAAAGAGTGGTGATCTTCAGCAGCACTTTTCAAACTTTGTGTAGGTCAGAATCACCTAGGAATGTGCTAGAAAATACAGCACGCTTTCTGCAATGCTAATGCTCTTGCGATCATCCTAAATATTCCTAAAACCACCAGACGTACTGTAGGAAGTATGGCAAGCACCAAACCATAAAGCAACACAGAACAAGAAAGCAAGAATTCTCCATATGAAAAGGGAAAACAGTGGCTATGGTGGGCAGACTAAACCGATTTCCCACCCCAAATACTAAAACTACAGAGAAGATTGTGCTGGAGTCTGAGTGTGTTGAGCCCAACTGCAGATCTAAGAGAACAATCGTTATTGAGAGAGTCAAGCATTTTGAACTGGTGGGAAATAAGAAGAGAAAGGCCAAGTGATCCAGTTCTAAGCTTCATTTTTCATTTTCTTATTAAGACAGTAAAATCATGAGGTTCAAAAAGAAAATAAAATACAGCAGCATTTCAATGGGCATAGGGCCTGGACCCCTGTATTTCTTATTAGTTGTTTTTTTTTTTTTTTTTTGAGATTCTGATACACACCAAAGTTTAAGAACTACTACCTAAGCAGGCCTTCTCAGACTTGAATACACATACAAAAACCTAAGGATTTGTTAGGTCAGAGTGGGGCATGAGCATGTATATTTTTGACAAACTCTCTGGGAATGCTGATGAGTAGCAATGCTTAGGTGTAATGAAATTTGATTTGCATTTTGCTGCACTGGGGATTGAACCCAATCCCCAGTACCACTGAGCTACATCCCTAGCCCTTTTTATTTTTTATTTTGGGATAGGTTCTTATTAAGTTGCTTAGGGCCTCACTAAATTGTTCAGGCTGGCCTTGAACTTGCCATCCTCCCAGTGGTTGGGATTACAGGTATGTACCACTGTGCCCAGCTTTTTTTTTTTTTTTTTTCCTGTGGATGCGCTAGGGATTGAACCCAGGGCCTTGCACATGGTAAGCACATGCTCTATTAATGAGCTACATCCACAACCCCTAAAGCAATTTCTTATAACTAGATGTTTCCTCAGTTTGTTTTCACTAAGCAAGGCCTGTTTCTCTCTAACTATGGGAAACAAAAAGTCTTGAAAAATTAATAGGGATTGTGCTTATTTTAGACCTGCAGGTGGGTCAGGAATTGGAAACTATGTGCACTGCTGTGCTCAGAGAAGCAATGGGCTGGGAGAAGAAAAGGAGGCCAGGCAGAGGACAGGCAATGGAGAGAGACTCTGGACCACCCAGGCCCTGGCAGTGGAAGGTGTTGGGTGGGGAGTTGACCACCACTGGGAAGCTGTCCTTTGTTGCTTGTTGACAGGGAGGCTTCATTTCCACTTACACCCTCTGAAGCCAGCCCTATCTGACTGGGATCAGGAGAATTTGTATTTTGGAATTGATTATATTCCCTGAGGGGTTTTCCTAAGGTCCCACGGCAAGCTGTTCCCTAGAGGAGTGTGGCAAAGATTCCTCATGAAGCAGTTTAGGTTACCTACTAGGCCAGCGCCCAGGACTGTGTGTGTGTGATCATCTCCACTGTCCTACCCAAGAGTAACTTCATGGGGGCAACCAAAATGTCCTAAACAGCATCAGCCCTGAGCAAAAGTGTAAAGGCACTGAGGGTTGTCTTTATTCCAACTCCCTTTCAACATCTCCTTTTCTCCACTGGGGATACCACCCATGCAAAATATCCTAGCTCTCTGCAGGCTATTAACAAATTCCCATCTGATGACTAAAAGTGCTGTCAGAACAGTTAGCTTGGGTATCACCAGAATGCCCTGAATTTTGTTAGCAATGCAAAGTCTTGCACCCTTCCATACCTAACAAACCAGAATCTGACTTTAACAAGGCCAAGGTGATTTGTATACATAAAAGTTTGAGAAAGCTGGGCACAGTGGTGCATGCTTGTCAAACTCAGGAGGCCGAAGCAAGAAAGTTGCAAATTCAAGACCAGTTTCAGCAACTTGGTAAGGCCCTAAGCAACTTAGCAAGACCCTGTCTCAAAACAATTAAAACAAGGGCTGGGAATGTAGCTCAGTGAGAAAGCACCCCTGGGTTCCATCTCCAGTACCAAAAAACAAAAACAAAAACTGCTCTAAAGCAGCAGTTCTCAGTCTTGACTACACTTTAGAATCACTTAAGAAGCTTTTAAAAATTCTGATATCCAGCTGGGCACAATAATACATGCCTTTAACTCCAGCAATTTGGGAAGCTGAGGCAGCAGGATCACAAGTTTGAGGCCAACCTCAGCAATTTAGCAAGAGTCTCAGCAATTTAGCAAGACCCTGCCTCAAAATTTTTAAATAACAAAAAGGCCTGAGGATGCAGCTCAGTAGGTAAAGTGCTCTTAGGTTCAACTCCCAGTACTGAAGGAAAAAAGTCCTGCTGCCCAGCCTCCACTTCCTACCAATTGAATCAGACTTTCTAGGAATAGAGCCCAGGCATCAGTTAATGTTAAGCCCTCCAAGGATTCCAATGTACAGCAGGGAAGAGAACAATCTTTTAAAGTAGGAGAGATTAAGGAGCAGACCCTCCAAAAAACTTTTGCGTTTTTCTGGGGGACCCCAGAAGACTTCAGAGTCCAGAATCCAAAGGAATTTATTTCAATTGGTGGAACCCGAAGGGCAGTATAATGGGAAAGAAAATGTGATGGGAGGGGAGGGCAGGACACTCTTGCATCAAAGAAAGAAATCGTTTGCCTAACTAATTGGAGCATCACCTTTGACCCTGATTTCATTAAGTGACCCAAATGCAATAACAAAAAGTTCTTTCTGTTTTATCCATGAGAAAAATGACTTACCCATTCCAAGGGTACTTCCAGAGCAGGTTACTGTAAATAAAAACACAAACACTGAAAATACATTCCTTGGTGTATTTAAGAAGATGTAAATTTTAAAAAAGATATAAGTTAAGAAAAAATAAGAGGAAAGTGAACCAAAAAATGAATAAGAAGAAATTTGGATGATAAGAGGAGACACCTATTAGCAGTATGACCTTGGGCAAGTCACTTCAGTTTGTGTGTGCAAGTGTCTCAGTTTATCAATGAAGTGAATAAGAATAAGAATGCCAACCTCACAGGTTTATTATAAGGGTTAATGGAATTAATACACATAAAGTATTGTTCTTGGCACAAAGCACTCAGTGTTTACTACTTCATTTATGATACTGTCCTGATTATCAGAATAAAACATCACTGATATTGCAATAAACGTGGAAACTTGTTTTTTTTTTTTTTCTTTCCAGAAAGACTGAGAAAAGGTGAATTTCCTAACCAGAGTCTAGGTCCTTATTAAGGTGAAATGGCAGCAGGCTTGAGATGACACCCCACCAAAGAGTTCTAACAAGGACTTCTGGCAGCTAACAAGCCATCAGAGGAGTGAGTCTCTAAGGGTTGACTTGCAAGCCTGGATCAGGAAAACAAAATAAAAAACAAAAGGCTTTCATTACTCATTCACTTAGCTGTGTGATCATGGGTGCATCAATTGGCTTGTTCATTCTTTTTTTAATTTAAAACATATTGAGCAACAGTTATATGCTAAGTAAGTACTAAGAGTCAGAGAGATCATTTATTAAGGGATATGACACACATTCAAATCACAGTTATATGCTGTGGTAAAGGGTGTCTTGAGGTCATAAAGGAGAAAGGGACAACACTAACTTGGCCTAGGAGAAGTGGAGAAGGTCAACAGAAAATTTGGACTGTTTTCTGGATGGGGATGGAATAGAATGCTCTTCTGCACAAAGAGAAGAGTACTGCATTTACTCAGAAACATGATATAGCATGGTCCATATGTGTGAATGATTCCATGCCATAAGACTAGAGACTAGAATCCTCTCAGGAGGAGGGGCTGGGGGTTGTGGCTCAGTGGTAGAGCACTTGCCTCGCATGTGTGAGACACTGGGTTCAATTCTCAGCACCACAAATAAATAAATAAAGGTCCATCAATAACTAATAAAACATTAAAAAAAAAAGGGAATCCTCTCAGGAGGGGTGCTGGGGAATGAGCCTACCCAAATAGTAGCTACCTACCACATGGCTATTGAGTACTGGAAATGTGGCTAATCTGAACTGAGATGTGCTATATGCATAAAATATACACCAGATTTATAAAAAAGGTAAAATATCTTAATTTTCACATTGATTAGATATTGGAATATTTCAGACACATTGGCTTAACTAAAATGCATTATTAATTTTACCTGTTTCATTTTACTTTCTCAATGTGGCTACTAGAAAATTTTAAATTTTCATTAATGATTCACATTAAATTACTACTGGACAATGAAGATACATAGACAGATAAGGAAAAGAGCATGAAAGATCTTGAACACCATGCTTAGAGGATCAGATTTCATCCCACGGAGCAATGAAAAACCTTTTTAAGATAGTGAATCATAAGACAACTGGGCCAGGAACATCCTTGTAGTCCCAGCACTCAGAAGGCTTCAGCAGGAGGATCAGTTGGGCCCAGGAATTTGAGGGCAACTTAGGGAACAGAACGAGACCCTGACTCAGAATAAAAAAAGGTGTTAAACCCTAAACAAATTAAAAATATGTGAAGATGGATTTAGAGATTAGGAAAAGAGAAGGGTTGCAGATGAAGCTTCAGTAGCCTGTGCACCGGTTTCCTCGTTTAATAATTGGAGACAATAAAATCCATTGAACCTCTTAGGAACATTTTGATCATTCACTGAGATATGGAATGTGAAAACACTCGATAAACTGTAAATCATTATTCAAATCGATGAAGTATTGTTATTGAGCTGTAGGCTCCTCTTCCTAAGAGCTCACCCTTACCCCAAGAACCTGTTCCTATCTCTTCCCTGCCTTGGGCCAGCTTGTCTTGGGGAAAAGATAATGAAAAAACAAGGAATCAGAGCGTGACATCCAAGGACAGTGAGAACACCCTTTCAGGAGGAGCTGGCCTTGTTCCATCACCAGGAGCCATCTCAGACTTCTTGTCACCACCTACTTTTAATTGGAAAATTTGAATTCTGGGTATCAGTAAAGGTTTGGGAACCATTTATTCCTCGTCTTGTTTTTGCCTGTGAAGCCTGGGCTTCATCATTTCTTTTCTTTTCTTCTAGAAATGTGTGAAAAATATATGACTGTGCCCTGGGCAAGGTAGCAGAGTTTGCTGGAACACAGAGCTGGAGAATTGTAATGTTTTTCCACCAATGAGGGTGGAAATGATGGCATCACTGATTGCCACATTTTGTGATCAGATTGTCTGCCCACTCATATATCCAAACCTAGTTTACAACTTATAAATTCATTTTTTTCCTGATCTTCCAACTTTTCCTCAGTCATAATTCTCAATCTGTGCAATTGAAAGTTCAAGTTTCTTAATTTTCAACATACCAGGGTATCTAGCCTCATCTCTAAGACCATGTTAAAATTATCCCCTAATCTTAAATCTTTTTGAATTTTCTTTACTATTTAAGCAACAAGCATCTGGTGTTTTCCCTGAAGAGTAAGGCAGGAACTGAGAAGGGAAGAGCACTTCAAATTGAATAATAATAAGACCACAATTCCAAAAATTGCTTGGGGGTCCCTTGAAGCGTGTAGAAATTTCACAGGTAGCAAATGATTCACAGATCTGAGTTGAGGGTTCAATAAGGGGTCATAACTTGCTTTACCTGAATATATTTTTTTGGGGCAAAAAGTAAGCTTCAGTCCTGTTTCAGCAACCGGTGAGACCACCACAGTATATACATCCCCGCAGGGTATTTCAGTAACATCACAAAAACTCAAGCCAGCACTTGGGGTGCATGTGAAAATGCCTTTGGAGCCATAGAGGTCAGTGCTGTAGTTGGCAGAACCCCTGGAGGCTTGCCAGTAGATCCGGATGCCATTAGGCCCCAGCCTATATAATTTCACCCCCAAAGGGCAGCAGGCATCTGTAGGATAAAGTTAAATACAAAGTCACTTATTCTATCTTCACACACAAACATGGCCTTTATTACTCAGGGGAAAAAAATGCAAGTAAACTATTCCAAATAATATGATTAGTTACTGACTAGAATAGAGCAAGATTTGAAGGGATGTCGAAGTTCTTTTAATGCTGAGCCACATGATCAGAAATCTGTGTGTGAGGGTGGTATGGGGTATAAATTTTTAACATAGAACAATGGTGATTCAAAAAGTTCCACACTTGGCAGAGATATGCTGTATTGTACATGACTCAAACTATGAGTCAAATGCACAGAATCCTATTAAGATCCCTGTCAAGATAATGGGTCCCAGTTTCATTTGATTTTAGTGGGACAAAGTTTAAATATAATTCATTGCATTCATCTCTAGTTGAAAAACACTATTTTGCTGAGCTGAGTGGCATGACACTTTGGGAGCAGCCACTTACATGACAGGCTGGTAGCCAGGTTGGTTGGTCCACATTTTATCCATGCTAAGCTGATTAGGTACTTTTTTGATCTTTTCTTAAAATCCTTGAGCAGGCCACACCTTAGATGATAGTCCTCAATAACTAAATAAAGAGACTATTGTATGTTTTGTAAAAGTTGTTACAGATAAGCAGTCTCATTTGATTTATTCTTCAAAAGGATTTTTTTCAGGTGTGAAGATAAGCAATGGGTCATATTTCCAAAACTAATTAATGAAATTAATGGAAGACGGTCAAAACAAAGTATAATCCAGCTAACATAAATTGAAGCATACTGCACATGCTTTCATATTATGATTTGATTCTCAAAACAACTTTGAGGAATAAGCTAGAATAATACTATTATTATTATTATTATTATTATTATTATTTATCAGGGATTGAACCCAGGGGCACTTAACCACTGAGCCACATCTCTATCCCTTTTTATTGTTTTATAGAAACAGGGTCTCATAAGTTGCTGAGGCTGGCCTCGAACTTGCAATCTTCCTGCCTCAGACTCCTGAACAGCTGGGATTACAGTTGTGTGCCACTGTGCCTGGCTAATTTTTATTTTTTCTTACCAGTGAGGATGCCTGGAAGATAAGGCCAACACAGCTTATCAGAAATCATGTTTAATGTAGACTCCAAGTTGAAGACTTTTTCTATTATCTCTGGGATGCAAAAATTACATTTCAACCTTCCTATCCCATGCCCCAGGCAGACATAACTAATTGATCATGGTACTCTTTTTTTTTCTCAGGCCAGGAAGGCATCCTCAGGAGTTTTTCAAAGAGTTTTCTTTCCAAGCAGCCACTTAAGTGAATTATGAATCTTAATTTGCTAGTCCTGCCCCATTTTTACTTCCCCCTGTTATTCCCTGATGGTTTGGTCCTTCTGATGATAAGGAACAAAATTGTCAGTAGACAGATATCTTTGCTCTCTTAGCCTGTCGAAATAAAAAAATCCTGGGAGGAGCTAGAGTGGTTTAGAAGAGAGAGAGGTGGTAGCATAATAGAAAATAAGAAAATAATGCAAACCAAATAGAATGTATGATCTACTGCATTCTGAAAACTCTGCCATCCTGAGTTACTTTCAGCTGCAAGTCTTTGTGTCATAAAAATATGTCATTCCTTCAGCAAACATGCACCTGAAGTGGTCAGCAGGAGAGGCGATTCACCAACTACCCACAGAAGCATCTGAAGCTCTGAGGTCAAGGGGAAACTATAAACATTTTAGAAAGTAATCTGCATTTATAATGCAAACGGGGTGGGGGGGTGGGGGGGATGCAGCATCTTTTTAAATGAGAAGGAAGGGTTGTGCCTGGCCCTGGAAGTGCTGAGTCCTCACTGATACTTCAGTTGTAGAATTGAGAATTTATTTACTTACTATAGTGTGGTATTTGAGTTCATTGATATCTGTGTATCATTCAAAATAAAGAAGAGAGGCAGAATGGGAAGAGAAACTCAGATTAATCCCAGTCAATAAGAGATTCTTATTTCATTTTCCCCCAGAAATTTACAAAATGTAAACTGCACTACAAGCATAGTTCTTGTATAAAAATATTCCCTCTCTATAACAATAATGAATACCCCTGGAAACTTAAGTAGAAATTGAATAATCAGAATAGCCAATGAATCATTAATACATCATAGACACATATTTATTTTATCTTGCTGAGCACCATTGATTTATATAAATTGTATAAATTTTTTTAAAAAAAGAATTCACTTACTAGAGGAATAACTTTGGTAGGCACAGTCTGCAGTCAACCCAGTGGCACTAATTGCTTTTAATGCTACTGTGTAGTTGATGCCACATGTGATGCACCCCAGGAGGCAGTGACTTTGATGGGTATGACACTTAGACTGTCCAATGTGTGATTCCAGAACTGTCACGTAGGTTTGAGCTGCCATCCCAATAGCCCAGCTCACATTGATTACTGATTGGGTGACCTGAGTTACAGTCATACCAGTTGGACAGCATGGCACTTAAGTGGGGAAAGAGAGAAAGAATTAGGTTTCATTTCCACTGAAGATGATTTTGTGAAAAACAACTAATAATTGTACTTTGTCTGCATTTCACTCAATATCTTAAATTTCTCAAGCTTACTATTATTAACCAAAATCTTCCATGGGTCACACCCTCTGTTACCTCTTGTAACATCAATTCTTTGTAATGAGTACTTTCCCCAAGAATGCAGAGCACTAACAGGCTGTGATTAGTGTGAGGTTTTCCCTTTTCTTTCAGAATAATCCTTTTTGTTCCTCAACATGAAAAATTCTAGATATAGACTGCAAAGCAACGGATCCATTCACCTCTTCTCCCAATATAACATCTTATAGCATTTGCAAGAAAATGTATTTTGCTTTTCCTGAGCACTTTGTAGTACATTACTGATATAAAAACTTGATTTCCTGCACTGGGGTTATGGCTCCGTGGTAGAGCACTTACCTAAGATTTGATCCCAGGCACAAACACCACCCCCCATGCCCTGAAATTAAAAAAAAAAAAAAAAACTTGATTTCTTAGCCTCCTAAGATACCATGCCATCTCAATTTTTCAATTTTTCAGAGACCCTTTATATAAGACATAGAAACTTTCTTCTTTTGTACTGGGATAGAATTCAGGGGCACTTTACTACTGAGTTACGTCTTCAGCCTTTTTTATATTTTATTTTGAGATAGGGTCTCACTAAGTTACTTAGGCTGACCTTGAACTTGTGATCCTTCCGCCTCTGCCTACTGAGTTGCTGAGATTACAGGTCTGTGCTGCTGTGCCCAGCAATAGCACTTTCCTTTTATGGAGATTTTACTTTGATTAGGTCATATGCTAAGTGCTCTGCACCATTAATTTAATTCACACAACCATCTAAGGCTATTATCCCCCTCTTACTGATAAGGTAACTGAAACTCAGAAAGCATTTTTTAGAGAAAGATATAAAAGAGCCCAACTAAAGAGACAAAAAATAAATCAGTTCATTTGGTTACTTGTTAGCTGTTTTGACAGATTGTACCTGGAGAGAATATAAATTCTAATAAATGTTTCTGTAGAGTCAATGCATTGCTCCTTTGATGCCAATGTAAGATGATTCTAGAGTCTTTTGATGATATTTTTACAGAGCATATAAAATGTTGAAAGTTTGATTTTTAAAGTCTGGGACTCTTGAAAAGAGTTCTAAGTGTACTGCATTTACACCACATGTAGGGTAGAAAATAAAGTCCATGTCTTAAAACATGTCCTAGAGACCTCCTGAAGTCAGCATTTGAGCTGGTGGTTGCTACATACCTGTTTCCAGGGGCATGCTGTAGCTGGGCAGACTCCATCCTGCCTGTGTTTCGGCCACAGCAGTGACGGAGAACACTGAGCCACAGGGCAGGTCTCCCAGGGTACAGGACTCTCCTGTGCTGCTGCATTGATACAGTCCCTTCTCCCCCTGGGCAGTCACTGTGTAAGTGGCATCGTCGTTGGTGGATCGCCAGTGCACATGAATCATGGAGAAGGCATCCTTGGAAATATTTATTATTTCAGGACTGCAAGGACCTAGAAATTTAAAATTATTAACTGAAACAGCTTGAGTCAAAAGTGTCACAAGTGGACTGGGTCTGGTGGTACAGGCCTATAATCCCATTGATTTGGGAGGCTGAGGCAGAAGAACAACAAGTTCAAGGCCAGCCTAAGAAACTTAATGAGACTCAGTCTCAAAATAAAAAATAAAAAGAGCTGGGGATGTAGCTCAGTGGTAGAGTGCCCCCTGGGTTCCAGCCTCCCTGTTGGGGGAATGAAAAGGGGATACATGTGTTATTTAGTCTAAAATTAATTTTTTGCCAGGCACTGCGGAACACTCCTATGATCCCAGTGTCTCCGGAGGCTGAGGCAGGAGGATCACAGTTCAAGGCCAACCCCAGCAACTTAGCAAAGCTCTAAGAAACTTAGTGAGACCCTGTCTCAAGATAAAATATAAAGAAGGCTGGGGATGTGGCTCATTGGTTAAGTTCTTCTGGGTTCAATACCTGGTACTAGAAAAAAAAAAAAAATAGGATTCCCCCCCCCCAAGTAAAATTAACAGGCTGAGCATAGCACACACTGTAATTCCAGTGATTTGGGATGAGGCAGGAGGATCCCAAGTTCAAGGCCAACCTCAGCAACTTAATGAGACTACACCTCAAAATAAAGAATAAAAAGAGCTGGGGATGTAGCTCAGTGGTAGAGACCCCAGGATTCAATCCCCCACACACACACACACATACCCCACCACCACCACCACTACCACCACCAACAACAACAACATCATCATAGTTTTCAAAAATATCTTGCACATAGACCAAATTTCTAGAGACTTTGTGTGGAAAACTGTTGACATTGACATAAGGTATTGGGTTTTTAGAGTGTAGAATCAACTGGAAGAGGTTTAAGAGCATTTTTAATTCTGAAATCAAAAGTAAGACAAGCCCTTGTACACCATGGGTGTATGGACAGGCACGTCCCTCAAAGGCAGAAAGAACTGAATGGCGGAGACAGTCATTGGCAAAACCTTCTCTCCCTGTGGTCTCCTTTTGTTTCCTTTCCTCCACCTTCCTCTTCCACTTTCTCTTCCATCTCTCCTTAATACAGTTAGGAATTCTACTGGTCCCTACAAATAGTGGTTAGTGGGATTTTAGGTCTTGCTGAGTGGCTGTTCTGAGGCACACAGCTGCAGTGAACGAAAGTATAGCTCTCCCATACCTGTGGTGATAAAGCGTGAACGGCATGACATATTGATGCCCCGGACTTCACTGAAGGAATATACTGTGATGCTGTACTTGGTGTCACACTCCAGAGCTGAGAGAGTGCAAGCAGGGGCAGTGTCGTTGCACTCTACCACGTTGGACCCAGCCACAGCCTTGGTTTCGTAGAGTTCGGCACCACGGACAGGAGACCAGACCATCTCTACTCTCTCGCTGGACACCAGCACTGGGTTAATGTCACTAGGACAACAGGGAGCTGAAAGTAGGAGCCCAGAGGGAATGAGGTCAATGCAGGAGCAATGCCACCAGAGAGGGTCCTGGGTGGCCTGACTTCCTCAAGGCCACAGCCTTTGTCACCATACTCCTACACTACTGCAATATCCTCCGACAGGTATGTTTGTCATCTACCCCACCCCAGTCCTGTTCTGCTGGGTGACCTAACAGAATTTTTACCATGCTCTAGCCTTTCTTTTCTGAAGGCCAGAAATTCCTCTTCAGCAGGACTGGCTGAAACACCAGTTGGATCATCTAAGCTGGCTGTCAGAGGGACCACTAGACAACCTCTAACCTCAGAATAAAAGACACGAGTATTCCTCCTCCTCATTTCTTTTACCCTATAACTTCCTGACCCCCAAGGGATGAGAACTTGATTTGTGAGTTTATCCCCCACTTCTATTTCTGGCCAAGAACAAAATCTCCTTCACTGCTCAATCAGTGCCCCATATTGTTATGGGTTCTATAATTTCAAGAGAGAAAAGAGACCCATTTTTTTTGTGTGTGTGCTCAAAAATCAGTTACATGGGGGCTGGAGTTGTAGCTCAACAGTAGAGTACTTGCCTAGCATGTGTGAGGCACTGGGTTTGATTCTCAGCACCACATATAAATAAGTAAATAAAAATAAAGATCTATCAACAACTAAAAATAGTATTTAAAAAAAAAATCAGTTACATGGCCAGGCACAGTGGCACATGCCTGTAATCCCAGTGACTCGGAGGCTGAGGCAGGGGGATCACAAGTTTGAGGCCAGCTACCACAATATAGCAAGGCCCTAAGCAACTTAGTCAGATCTTGTCTCAAAATAAAAAAATAAAAAGGGCTGGGAATTGTGGCTCAGTGGCTAAGCACCACTGGATTCGATTCCTGGTACCAAAAAATAAATTAATAATGATGATGGGTTGATGATGATGATAATAATAATAATAAGTTATGCATTCAGTTCCAACTTTGGCCTAACTCTCACTGCATATAGGATAAATTCTCAGTATGACATTGAAGGTCATTACAAGCTGTAATATTCAGATGTTCCCCCCTCCACACATATCAGACCTCTCAATACTCTGTCTATTTTGTGCTCTCACTACAAGAGCCTTGAAGACTGTGAACCCCCTACAAGAAAGCCTTTCCCTCTTCTGCCTAACAAAGTCATCATCCTAACTTCTCAGATGCTATCACTCTTTCCAGACACTAAACCGGATAAAGCTGGGGTGTGGGAGAGGGGAGCATGATTGTATTAGTAAATCTTAGAAGAGACCTTAAAAAGCCTGCCTAACAAATGTCTAACTAGGATTGGGGTTTCTCTGAGAAGTTCTTGCCCCACCTACATTCCATCCATTCTAAACTCCAGCTCAAGGCCACTCCTTTTGGAAGTCCCTCCTGTGTTCTTGAACCTTAATGATAGCCGCTTACTTCAAATTCCAAATTCCCAAAGCACCAATTATTTGGACCCCTCAAACTGGTAAAATTTTTTATAATCAAGCAAATACTTTATATAACTATATTATTCTTATTTGTAAATATAGTTAATTAATTCCAAGTCACTCCATTCATTCTTCAAAAATTGAGCATCTCCCCTATGCTGATCACACTATGATAAGCACTGGTGACAGATAAATAAAACATAATCTATGCCCAATACAAATTCCAAGCCTAGTGGAGGAGAGTAGTCATGGTAATAATCATGATCATGAAAATATTTGTATTCTGCTTTATTACATACAAAGTCCTTTTCACATTTATGTTATTGTTATTTGTCCCACTTTTAGTGAAGGATACTAAGGAAGTAGCAAGGTAGACATCATCGTCCCTTGGCATGGTCGAGTTAGAACTTAAAACCAGGTGTTGTACTCCAAAGCCCTCCAAACCATGTAGCATCTTGGCTATTGCATCTGTCTCTCTGGTCCCAGAAACAGAGTAAACTCCTCAAATGGAGAGCTGCATCCTCTTCAGCATCCAGGCCTGAACAGTAACTAGATCTTTGTGGACGATTCAACTTTCAGAGCATGCTAGAGCTATATGCTTTTCAGGATCTGGCTAAGTTGCCCAGGCAAGTCTGGCCTAGAACTTGCAATCTAAGTCCCTGAGATTACAGGCATGGAGTGCTACACCTAGCTAACCTTGCATTTTTGTAAAGTTTGGGTTCACAAAGTAAAATTTTCCTAGTCTGGGAAGAATGAAACAAAACATTCATTTTGCATTCCTGGCTCTAGAATGACTCCCAGGTGGTGACCTACTCTGCTGCTGAGTTTAGTGAACTCAGACTCCCTTTACAAACATCAAATGTGACTTACCTGTTGTATAATTGAATACATCACCCAAAGGACTCTGCCCTGCCTTGTTATAGGCAAAAACACTAATAAAGTAAGTGAAGCCACACTCAGATAAGAAGCTGCACTGGGTGGTGGATGTATTACAGTGTACTTCCCAGCCATCATCACTCTTCACAAAAGCCACGTAGTAATCACCCAGATCTACATTGGACCAAGCCACAGACAGATGGCCAGGGGGATCTTCTTGGATCATCACTCTTCCAGGTGCACAAGCCACTAAGAAGTAATCAATAATAACCAGTTGTAAGACTATTGCAGGAGATTTTTTTTTTTGCATCTTTGCAATTATCCAAGGACAACCCAAATCAGCAACTATAAGTTTTGTAATAGATTGAATTTGGTGTACAATATGAAAAATTATGTACCAGAAACATTAGAAGATTTTCCTTAGAGAACAAAAGTCTATGCTACAGCAAACCACAAAGACACAAAGACCTATTCACATTCTCTCATTATATGAGAGAAATAATGGGCCACCAGAGTTTGGTAGTCATTTTAAAATACGGGGATTTTGCTGTGCATGGTGACCCAGGCCTATAAACCAGCTACTTGGGTTCAGAACTAGAAATATCTTCATCTTTAAAAATATCTCCCCTTGGGCTGGGGATGTGGCTCAAGCGGTAGCGCGCTCTCCTGGCATGCGTGCGGCCCGGGTTAGATCCTCAGCACCACATACCAACAAAGATGTTGTGTCTGCCGAGAACTAAAAAATAAATATAGAAAAAAAAACATTAAAAAAAAAATATCTCCCACCTTGGGAGGCTGAGGCAGGAGGACCACAAGGTCAAAGCCAGCCTTAGCAATTTATCAAGGTCATAAGCAACTCAGGGAAATAAAATATAAAAAAAAAAAAGGTGGGGATGTAGCTCAATGGTTGAATGCCTCTGGTTGAACGTGGTTGAATGTTTAATCTCTGGTACCAAAAGAAAAAAAAAATCTCCCACCAAGTCTCTGTCATGAAACTTAATGTCAATAAGAGACAGTTGTCTGTACTTCACATTTAGAGCTATGTGTATAACTCCAGCTGTCCAGGCCCAGTGACACATGCCTATAATCCCAATGATTTGGGAAGCTGGAGCAGGAGGATTTCAAGTTTAAGGACAGCCTAAGCAACTTAATAAGGCTCTAGGCAACTTAACAAGATCTTGTCTCAAAAGTCTCAAAATAAAAAGGGGTGAGAATGTAGCTCAGTGGCAAAACACTCCTGGGTAATCTCCAGTACCAAACAAAAACAAAAACAAAATCCCTCCAATTGGATCTTCTTTAAAAATGAAGACGAAGCCAGAAAGCGGAGACAGGATGGTCACTTGAGCCCAAGAATTCAGCCAGCCTGAGCAATACAGCAAGATTCTGCCTCAAAAATAAAATAATAAAAATGAAAAAAACTAACTAATGGAAGATCTAGAATAAAAGCCAGGCCTCCACATATTCAAAGCAGTGCTTTTTCAAAATTCACAAAATCGGGTTTCCCTATCCACGTTATTCAAACTCATGAGAATGTCCAACTCAATGCTTTCATTTAGACCAGGCTTTGGTTTTGACTGCTTCCAGAGTGTTCTGGAATATTGTCAGGGACTTTGACTTGCCAGCCCTGCAGGGTTCTCACTCTTGTTTACATACCTGTCTTCAGGGTCCCTGCTGAAGAGGACTTGCTAGATCCAGCATCATTACTTGCTAAAACGGAAATCAGGTACTCAGTTCCACACTGGAGGGAAGAGATGCTGCAGGAACTGAAAGTTGTACTGCAGCTCCGCTCAGAAGAACCACTCAAAGCCATCACAGTATAGTTGAAGGCTCCTTCTGTCGGTGTCCATGAAACAGATGCCTTCAGAGCCCCACTGTCAAAAGAGACTTGAATGTTGGCAGGAGCACGAGGACCTATGTTTTTGAAAAACAATTAAGATTTTATAACCACCTTAAGCCAAATGAGACGTAGCCTAACAATGTTAAGGAGCTCAGTGGATAATAAAGTACACCAATAGTTGGATAAATACAAGCATTAAAGCGTAAAATTGGGATTTTGGATACCTGGGAACTGGTAACACATCTGCCATTAACTATGTGAACTCATATATCTATGTGACCCTGGCCATATTATTTCAACTATTTGTTAATTTTTTTTCACATCTACAAAATGGATATAATAAGATCAGTGTCTATACAGGTGCAAAAAATATACTTTCATGCATGCATGCATATATGAATATACTATTTAACAAGTAGCCAGGTGTGGCAGCACAGGCCTGTAATCCCAGCTACTTGAGAGGCTGAGGCAGGAGGCTCTCAAGTTCTAGACCAGCCTGGGCAACTTATCAAAACCCTGTCAGAAAACAAAATTTAAGAAGGGGATGGACTAGGTGTTCATCAGTGATGATTAGATAAAGAAAATGTGATATATACACAAAATGAAGTTTTATTCAGCCATAAGAAGAATGAAATTAAGTCATTTTGCAGGAAAATGGATGAAACTTGAGAACATTATGTTATGCAAAAAAAGCCAAACTCAGAAAACCAAGGGTCTTTTGTGTTCTCTCATTTGTGGAAGCTAGAGTAGAAAAAAGAGAAGAACAATGGCAGGGGTTCTCATGGAAATTGAAGGGAGACCTGTAGAATAGAGGGAAGGAAGCAGAAGGAAGAAGAAGAGGAAGAAAAAGAGAAATACTGGGGAATGACTTTGGCCAAATTGTATTGTTATATTGTATGCATAAACAGATATGTAATGATTCCCACCGTTATGTAAAATTGTAATGCACCAATAATAAATATGGTGGGGAAAGGGGTCTCAGGATGTGGTAGAGCATCTGCCGAGCATGTATGAGGCCCTGGGTTCAATCCCCAGGACTTCAAAAACAAACAAAAACTGCAAGTGATTATAGAATAAAATGAGATTATAAATGGGGGCACTGTGGATATAGCTTGGTGATAGAGTATGCGCTTAGCACTGTAAGGTTCTGGGTTCAATCCCAAGCACCCCAAAAATAAATATGAAGAATTAAAAGTGCCATATGAGTATGTTATCATTACATGATAGGCCATATATTTTGTTACTGATTGATGAAGCAAACATATCCCTTCATTATTTTTGACCCGTGCTAGTCACAATTGTTTCTGGAGGAGCAAACATTTCCTTTGTATCTTTTTTTTTTTTAATATTTATTTATTTATATTTAGTTTTCAGCGGACACAACATCTTTGTATGTGGTGCTGAGGATCGAACCCGGGCCGCACGCATGCCAGGCGAGCACACTACCGCTTGAGCCACATCCCCAGCCCCTCCTTTGTAAATTAAAGGGAAGGAAGGAAAATATAGAGAGCGATGACACCTTACACACTCTCAGTGTCTCCCAAGTACTTTCCCCTATATTATAAATATGCCTCCTTTTCTTCTGGGCTATCCTGTTAAAAAAGTTGGGGGACATATGTCCACTGGGCCAAGTGGGGAGAGAAACTGGCTTCGGATCACCTTTGGAATCTGTACTGTAATGAAGACCACCCAGCAGAACTTGAGCAGGGATAGCATCCTCTGGTCACATCTGGAGTACAGGAAAGACCCTATTTGAGGACATGGGGACCCAACTCGTTCTCCACAAGACAGGTACCTGCTGTGTTTCCCTTATAGGTCATCTCCACAGGTCCCTTTCCCCCACTGCAGGGTCAACTCATCTACAAAGGAAGGTCTGCTTTGGGGTAGGTAGTGCTAGGCCAAAGGCTGTTAACTGTACCCTACAGAAGTTTAGGACAATGTAGTTCCCATAAGGGATATGGGAGAACTAGGAAAAATAGGTAGGATAGTGGGAAACTGTTACGGGTTGAAGTCATTCCTCCCAAAACATGTACGTCAAAATCCTAATCCCTAGTGCCATCAAGACTGTGACCTTATTTGGAAATAGGGTCATAGGATAGGATCTAATTCAATAGGATCAATGTTTCCCCCACTACTACCTCAAACCCAGGGCCTAGTATGCTATGTGATACTGTACCACTGAACCATGTCCCCAGCTCTTCAGGTATATTTATATCTCTATGTTTATTTTTTAGTACTAGGAATTGAACCCAGGGACACTTTACCATTAAGCCACATCCCCAACAGTTTTTATTTTGAGAGAGGGTCTCGATAAGTTGCCCAGGCTGGCCTCAAACTTGTGATCTTCCTGCTTCAGCCTCCTGAGTCACTGGAATTATAAGTGTGCCAAGGTGCCCACATATGGCTGATGTTCTTATGAAAAGAGATCCAGACAAAGACATGCACACTCACAGGCCAAGGAAAATGTTCTGAGCAGATCCTTCCCTCATAGCCCTCAAAAGGAACCAACCCTAACTGGGCAGGATAGCACTTGCCTGTTATCCCAGTGAGGCTGAGGCAGGAATATCGCAAATTCAAAGCCAGTCTCAGCAACTTAGGGCCTCACTATCTCAAAATAACAATAAAAATGGCTAGGAATGTGGCTCAGTGATTCAATTGAACCCCTGCGTTCAATCCTTGGTTTAAGAAAAAAAAAAAAAAAAAAAAACCAACCCTGCCAACACCTAGACTTCAGACTTTGCTTCCACAATTGTGAAACAATCAATTTCTATTGTTTAAGCCAGCTTATTTGAGGCACTTGGTGACAGCAGCCCTAGCAATCTAATACAGAGGCTAAATTCAAACTCTTAAAACTTTATTTATTTTTGGTACTAGGGATTGAACACAAGGGAACTTAAACATTGAGCCACATCCTCAGCCCTTTTTAAAAAATATTTTATTAGAGACAGGGTCTTGTTGAGTTGCTAAGTGCCTCGCTAAGTTGCTGAGACTGGCTTTTGAACTCGTGATCCTCCTCCTCAGCCTGAAGAGCCTCTGGGATTATAGGAGTGCACCACCTCGCTGGGCTCTAAGACTTTTCAAAACATGGGGAAACAAGTAAAGGAGAAGGCCTGAAAGAAACCAGATGGCTCTCTCAGTCCCCCAACCTGATACAGATGCTCTCTCCTGTGCCACACTGTGTTTGTGTGACTCCATCAAAGCACTTGTTACACAGAACCATGACTGTGGATCTATGCATCTTTAGATATAATCATATCTTTGAGTGGGAGCATGCTTTATTTGATGTTGTATTCCCATCAGCTAGGTTCTGCCCAGCTCAGAGTGAACCCTCAATAATTTTTTGTGGGAAGATGAGGGTGGGTGGTGCGGTGGGGGGGATGCGGTGTGGGGGGCAAGGAAGCAAGCAAGCAAACCAGCTAGCCTAGGCTGTTTGTCACAAATATCCTGACTCACCAAGCCCATCACAAATCACCTTGGGGCTACTTGCTATGGTTTCTCCTAGAGAAGTAGTATGCAAGGCAAATTCTTCTCTCTACATTTCTGTCTTGGCCATAGATCATTCCCCTCCAAAAACTAAAGAGAACATTTCTGGTTTCTTCCTAATCTTTCCTGGTCCTCCCCCAAGGGATATAACAGCTAATCCTGTTAATCTGGTTGGTGCGAGTCTGGCATCTATTTAGGTCATATTGCCAGCAGATAGCTTACTCAAGAGAAGAAAACTGTCATATTCAACTGTCATATTCTCTCTCCCTCTCTCCCCCTCCCCCCTCCCACCCTCTCATTCTTCTGGCTCATCCCAGCAGTTCCGTTTGGATTTGCAGTTATTAAACTGCATTCCCCCAGCCAGGTGTCCCTGGGGTGGGGATGGTGAGAGAACACAACCTGCACCCGGCAATGCAGCTTCTCTGCCTACAGCTAGAGGAGAGGTGGTGGGAAGCACGTGTTAGCCTCAGGCCTAGGTGGAGGCCTTTGGGAAACACATCTGTCACAGCATGAAGCACCAGGACAGCAGGAACTCTGTCTTGTTTGCTGCTGTATCTCTGCACTGAAGCCAGCATATGCTCACTGAATGTCTGTTGAAGAAATGAATTCCTGTTTGGCCCAATTCTTTTTGTCTAGACTATCGCTGAACTCAGGAAGAGACAAGGGGCGATTGGTAAACCTAACAAAAATCGTGATATCAAATGCATATGCAGCAACTGAGTTGGATTTCAGAGGGGAAGCTGCCATGCTCCTTGTATTCTCTGCAGCATTTCTTTATCCATGCAGTAAGCATTTAAACTGCCACGGAGGAATAGTCAAGGCACTATAAATAACTTCATAATAAATTTAAACAGCTGCTGCCAGCTGCTCTGTACTTATCACTTAACATTGCTCTTGATGGTTGCAATTCACAGCCCCCCTCATTAATCAAAAATGAGATTGTTTGAGGCTGAGCTGAGAAGTCCTTACTTGTTCTCTGATTGCAGGTGGAGTCATCCCCAGGGATTCCATTAGCGTTCCATGCATAGGCTTTTATGGTGTAGAGAGTCCCGGCATCTAGACTGCTGAAGGTCAAGGAGGTATTTGTAGTATTCTCCTTCCAAATTCTACCTAAGCCATTGGCTTGCATAATGGACACAGAGAATCCGATTGCCATATATACAGCTTCCCACTGCACAAGGATAGAGTCTGGACTTGGAGAGCTTACTTCCAGAATTGGTGCAGCCAACACTAAGGAGACAAAAGCAAAATGAAAAACTGCATTTGTGTTTAAAAGTCCAATAGAGGATAATTCAAATTATTTAGGAATAAGTAAGTTCAGGTTGATTATCTATTGAGATTGATTTTCATCTTATAATTATTTGATTTATAAAGTTATTAATTATAGAGTTCCCTTAAATAATCACTATCTAAGTGTGTATTAATCATAAATGATGTGGCAGAGACAAAGGAAAACTTTAAATATTAGACACTACTTTCAGCGGGAAGTTGGCCAGAAATTAGACAAATATTCCTATAATCATAATATAAATCAATTATAAAAATGATGATTTATACCATTTCAATGTGCACACAACTTTTTAGAAATATGCCTAGGAACAACTTTATCAAATAAGTGTAAATAATGCTGATGGCAAACTTCAACTGTTTTTGTTAACAGGTATACCATGTGGTTAAAATGTGGAAAAACCCTTCTACGTATTCTTTTTTTTTTAAAATTGGTGCATTATAGTTGCGCAAATTTAATTGATGTACAGTAATGATGGAACTTGTTACATTTTCATGCATGCATACTACAAAACAATATAAACTGGCCAATCACTTCCTGGCACTTCCACCCACCTTTCCCTCCTCCAGTCCCCCAATCCCTTTCCTCTACTGATCTCTCTTTGCCTTGTATGTATCCTTTATTCAGTACAGTTAAAAATAGAACTTCTTTTCAGATATGTAAAAGCAGGGATACATTTAAAGATGTCCAGAAGGGCTTTATGTTCAAAGCAAAAACATGAGGCATTTAAATACCACCTCCTCCACAGACACCTGAGTTGCCAGAAAATATCATTTGGTGATTTTCACTTCTGGGCCCTGAATTGTGGCACCCATGTGACACCAAACTGCCTTGTGCATTTGCAGCATCATTATAATTGATCCAGGTCACAGGTCACAGAGGATGAGCATCAGCTACCTGTCTTTGCCTGCTTTGGAGGTGATGCCTGGCTTCTGCCAGCAGCACTGATGGATCTGATGGTGATTTGGTACAAGGTCGCAGCCTTCAGGCCTGTTACAGTGCCTGGGGAATTGGCCACCATGGTTTCAATGACTGTGTCCCCATCTTCAGCTGTGAGCAGGTAACTGGTGGCCCCTGGCACTGTAGCCCATTCCACAGTGATACTGTTGCTGATTTTTGAATATGCTTGATCAATAGTGGGTATTTGGGGAGCTGAAAGAGATTTTTAAGTTGTACATTAGCCAGGATATCTGGAAGGGTCACTTCTTTCATCATTTTCCTCTTCAAACTAAATCATTCTTATGCCATCCTTTATACATAAGCTTTGCTCTCATTTTCCAGATCATGATAAGACAGAGAGAAAGAAAGCTACGGTTGTTCGCCAGAAGAGAGCAGAAGCTCAAACCTCTCACTCAGGGACGAAATTTCAGAGTCCCCCCACCCCCACCCCCAGTTGTACTTATTTTTTATTTCATTTTTTGTACTGAGGATTGAACCTGGGAGCACTTCACCACTGAGCTACAACCCCAATCCTTTTTATTTATTTATTTATTTTTTTATTTTGAGACATATCTCTCTCTACATTGCTTAGGGCCTAGCTAAATTGATAAGGCTGGCCTCAAATTTGCAGTCCTCCGGCTTCAGCCTCCAGAGTCACTGGGATTACAGACATGTACCACTTGCCCTTTTAAATAAGTTAAATAAGCATGGGAAGTGATTGTGGGTAGAGCTCTGAAAGGAGACTTTCCCAGGATGCTTGGCCATTGATGTTCCCTCCCAGTCCTGAAACTGGCTCCACTGCTTCCAGCTGGAACCACCTCCGTCTCCAGCTCTCTGGTGGCTGTCGTGTCACTTATGCACTCTGCCCATGTCCCCACTGGCATTCATTCTCACGGAGGAAAGAGGGAGTATTGAGTCCTTTGTTATGGTAACTTCATAGTATGTTCCTAACACAGGAGTATAACCATTTCCAGATTCTTTTACGTAAAATAGAAAACTTTATTCTCCTTTTCTCTATCAAAACATTTGTCTTGGGCTGGGGTAGTGGCTCCATGGTACAGCGCTTGCCTAGCATGTGTGAGGCACTGGGTTCAATCTTCAGCACCATAAAATTAATTAATTAATTAAAAAAAAATCTGTCTCAGCATAAAAATGTGATGCTGTGGTCCCTTCTTCTGTGGGCCTGGCCATGGTTTGCCATGGGATGTAAATGTTTGCATCCTGAGCTTACACAAGGCATTCCTATATTTTGGGTATGGGATAGGAGACATAGAACAGTAACCATACTTACCCCTTTACCAAATCCACAGACGCAAAAACGTTTGGGATGTAGGAGATCCAAGTGGAAATAAAGTCATAAATAAGAACATTAACTGGATTTTAATTAACTAGTTAATTGTAGTATTGAGGGTTGAACCCAGGGCCACTCTACCACAGAGTGCCCAGTCCCCCTTCCTCCTCTTTCTCCTCCTCCTCCTCTTCTTCCTCCTCCTCCTCCTTTTTCTTTTTGAGACAGTCTCACTAAGTGGTCCAGGCTAGACTCTAACTTGCCTCAGCCTCACCTGTTGCTGGGATTACAGGTGTATGCCATTATACCTGGCCATAGCTGGGCTTTCCATTTGAAGCCGAATCTTGGCTCTTTATGTTTAATATACCCCATTTGATATACAACGTCACAATATGTCAAATTCAAAACCAAATGGCAAAATAAACAAGCAAAACTAAAGGGCAAGGAGAAAGAATAAATACAGACAAGTGATAGCCGGTATCAACTCTTCCCCTTTCCCTCCAGCCAAATCTCTATGTGCATGATACAGACAACCTTTCTTTCTTTACCAATGACCCAGAGTCGGTTTTGGCAGCACCTCAGAAATAACCATGTTGAAAACGAACAAAGTCTCCACTGTGCACTAGCCAGACATTCCTGGGACATCACCCAGGGCTGTCTCTTCTGCCATTGAAAGAAAATCATGACAGTTAAATATGCTGGCAGAAGATGGAGACCTCGTAGCCATTTGCCAGTAGAAGCTGATTCTGTAGGAAGGACCTCTGTCCCCTCCCAATCCTGAAAAGTAAGAAGCCCCATTAGGGGGTCCTCCTTTCACTCAATCCCCCACACATCCCACTTCTCCTCCTCCAGTCATTTTTCCTGTGGTCTGTGCCTCCTTTTCTCTGATTTTCTGGTGTCTCTTAATTCTTGTTGCCCCTGTCCCCACAGTTTATCTTCTCTCTTATGGCAGCCAGTCCTGCCCATTGGAATGGACTCAATTTCCTGGGGAAATGATGATCAAACCAGCCGCAGACATAGGAGGCCTGACAGTGAATTCACAGAGTGGATATAAAAGGCTAGCATGTCAGAGACTACTGTGGGATCTGAGGACTCTACACAACTCGCCCTGTTAAATTAAGAACTGGGTGCGGTTGCGCACACCTGTAATCCAAGTGATTTAGGAGGTTGAGGCAGGAGGATCACAAGTATGAGGTCAGCCTCTGCAACAGAGAAAGACCCTCAGCAATTTAGGGAGATTTTGTCTCAAAATAAATAAATAATAATAATAAAAAGATTAGGGATGTTGTGATGCATTTGGAAAAGCCAGACCATGACACTGACACACAGTGAGGGTGCCATAGACACTGAGATTCTAGGGAGTCTGGGACAAGCAAAGGCTGGACATTGGTTGCCTGTTTTACAGTTGGTGCTCAACAGACTCTGAGCAGCACTGTCCATGAAAGCAGATCAAAACTTCTGAACCCCGCCCAAAAAACAACAACAACAACAAAAAAAAAAAACAACTCTGAACCTGGGGGTGAGGTTGTGGCTCAGTCGTAGAGCTCTTGCCTACCACATGTGAGGCACTGGGTTTGACCCTCAGCATCATATTAAAAAAAAAATGGCATTGTGCCATCTACAATTAAAAAAAAATTTTTAAACAATCTGAGTGGGAGAACTCAAGTATCTCAGTGGTTGGTTCGCCTGACGCAAGGAGCAAGTGGAGAGAACACCAGCTGTGGAGGGAATGAGTCTGAGTGCCCAGTCCTGGTGTGGCAAGTCCTGGTGAGATGGGTCCAGCCTCTGGGGACATTTGTTTGGCAGAAGGGATGGGGTCTCTGGGGGGGCATTCCAGTTGTATAGATCTAGTCTTTTCTTTCTTTCTATAAGAGACAACAGGGCTAGACTTTGTTACCCAAAGAACAGATATTTTAAAAAATCATTTATAAGCTGAGAAAAGTGGCACATGCCTGTAGTCCCAGAGTTCATGGCTTATATAATTATAATATCAGGAGGTAATACTTTTTTAAAACCTATATGCATGGACTTTGTAAAATTTTATGGCTTAGCTCTAGTCTCATATCAAATTTTACAATTGTCTTAATTCTACTTCCTTTTCTATGTCATAATAAAAATAGTAAGCACTGTTCTAGTTTATGTTGAGTCACTCTGAGAGCTCATTGCTGATATAGTTGATAAATATTGTTCTCCAGATAAGTTAAATCCCACTAAACATAAATTTCCAGCCTGGATTTTAGATTTCTAGAGTTCATGATGGAACCCAGGGCCTGACACATGCTAGGTAAGGACTCGACTCCTGAGTCACACCTCCAGCCCAGCAGGGAGCTGGTATTGAAGCTGCCTTTTTAAGAGTACTTTCCATGTGATTGAGAAAAGGTTCATATTCTTATTATTATTAAAGACTGCTGATAGAAATTATGAGAGTTCCACTCTTCAACCCTTTCCACATTCTAAGTGGGGTGGCTGAGGAGCTTGAGTGACAGCTGTTGGGCTCTATAAAGTAGCAACAATCCTCGCTCTTTCTTGCTTTTATGTTTAGCCTACTTTACTGGATGGATGAAAGAGAAAACTCTGTTCCCTGGATGTGCATCTAACCACTCTGATCAGTCAGAAATGAAACCCTTTGATTCTCATCATCTGTTCATTCTACCAACTCAGAAATCTAAATTAGCCCAGAGGCCCCAGACACACATAAATAAATAGCTGATCCTAGAACCCAAATGAAATCAGAACACACATACCCAAGATGAAGCCTTTTGTACAGTACAAATCAAACATATCCCATCTATTGAAAAGCCAGAATCGATCGATTAACAGCACCATGAGTATCTTAGTCTGAGTCGCTGTTTCTCTTGAATAGGGTGGATACTTGATGACTAAAAGTGAGCCATTTCTTACGACTCAGTATGTCCTAGGTGTGCTGGGACCTTGTAAGAGACAGCAAAGCTAGATTTTGTTATCCACAAGACCAGTTTTTCTTTAAAAAAAAAAAAAAAATCGCGTATAAGCTAAGCCCAGTGGCACATGCCTATAGTCCCAGTTACCTAGGAGGCAGAGTCAGGGGGATAACTTGAGACCAGGAACTCAAGGCCAGCCTGGACAATACTGTGAGATCTCACCACAAACAAAATAAAGAAATAAGTAGAAAAAATTTAAAAATCATTTTGAATGTGGCCGGTCTTTCCCATGGCTTCCTGATCAATCTTAAATGCTTCTCAAGTATAAGGTGAGTAAGAAATAATAAATCAGGCCATAATAATTTTTTTAAACGGTACTGGGAGTGAACCCAGGGTAGAACCCAGTAGAGTGTAGCTCTACTGCTGAGCTACACTCTCATCCCTTTTTTTAATATTTATTTTTTAGTTATAGGTGGACACAATGTCTTTATTTTTCTTTATGTGGTACTGAGGATCGAACTCAGTGCCTCACTCATGCTAGGCAAGTGCTCTCCCTCTGGAGCCACAACCCCAGCCCATCATCCCTTTTTATTTTTCATTTTGAGACAGGGTCTTGCTAAGTTGTTAAGGACCTCACTATGAGAATTTACTGCTCATATAGTTGATGTTATATTGTTCCTACAGATAAGCTAACTCTTACTAAACGTAAGTTTCCACCCTGGGGACTTAGATTTCTGGAATGGATAAGCCAAGATATGCTTTTAGAGAAATTATTTTTGCCGTCAGTCAATTATTCAAGAAAAATGGTGATTAAATCTTTTTATTTGGGCTGGGGATGTGGCTCAAGCGGTAGCGCGCTCGCCTGGCATGCGTGTGGCCGGAGTTCGATCCTCAGCACCACATACAAACAAAGATGTTGTGTCCACCGAAAACTAAAAAATAAATATTAAGAAAAATGGTGATTAAATATTTTTATTTTATTTTATTTTTTTGAGACAGAGTCTCACCAAGTTGCCCAGACTGGCCTCAAACTTGCTCCTACCTCAGACTCTCAAGTCACTGGGATTTCCGGCGCAGGCCCATCACACCAGCTTGATGTAATCTTTTCAAAAGAAATCCCTTTTTCAGCTTTGAGTTACCATTGTCTATATTTAAACATGCAATTTTAGAAGTATAAAGTTCCTTTTGATTAAAGTAGGGGATCTTGAAATTTTAATCAAGTACAACATTTCTAATTTTCTTTTCTAATTTCCCAGAAGACAAATAAGAAACGTACATAAATTAGATCTTCTCTATTGTAGATTTTTATTTCTTTGGCTAGAATGATGATCACTGTAATATTTTGCTCATGGCTGTTTATGAGAAAATGCATTTTGCTACATGCCTGTACACAGTACAGTACTCAAAAAAGAATACCTTATAAGGTCTTGTCTTTTAAGTTTGATCCATTTATTTGTCTTACCAGTTATTGTCTCCCCAGCACCTGAGAGATAGTTTTCACCCAATGTAATGTTCAGAAAACGTTGGATTCTTTTGTCAGCATAACCTTTATACTTCAGGGTAGCCCACGAATCAATAATGACAATAAAAATCAAACATGAGGAGGGAAATTTGCATGTCAGAAAATTTTACCTGTTTTGGCTGAAACAACCTGAAAAGGAAATTTTAGAAAATTAGAACCATGAAGAAAAAACATCATTTTGGGAAATGAAAAACATAAATCAGAAATAAATTAATCATATTTCTATACATCATGTGAGCATTTTTCAATCCACATAAGTATTTATCTGCGCAACTCTTCCCAGCGCTCAAACCTACCACAAAGCAATCCTGAGTAGAATTTCGAGGCTGGGAGCATATCGCATTACTATTTCATTTTTTCCATTGAATCTGCCTATTGAACTGAGTCAGAAGTCAATGACAGATTTTTCAAAAATCTTTGTTCTTAAAATAAAATGATAATCTTGTTTATTTTCTCCAATGTATCACATTAAGTTTCCAATATACAAACATATACAATCTTGGAATGATCCTTAAGTGTTTCAATTTCTGTCTCCCCCAATCCCTGGCCCTTCAAAGAAAGAGAAAGATAATGAATGTGTTTCTGTTTTCTCTAAATAGCTGCAGGTAGTCGGAAGGTGAACTCACCTGTTTAAGACAGATGAGACTGAATCCAATCAAAAACAAACATTTCTTCCATCCACCAGCCATCCTGTTGGGCATAGCACTCACATGACACAAAACACAGTAATCAGGGTCCTTTTTGGCCCCCAGGAGGGCAGCACCACAGTAAGGCACTCCGATGTGGGGCTGTGATGCTGGGAATAGACCCTGGGAAGCTGCCCCTCCCCTTCAGTGTGGCACTCACCTGTAACCAGGGACAGTTGGAGACTGGCAGGGACAAGTATTGCAAAGACTGAAAAAAGAGTGTTGGAAAAAGCCACACCAAGCAGACTGAATAGCTTTTGTAACCTTAGTTTCAAGGTAATATGTAGAATGCTGTCCTTTTTCTTCAAAAAAATTTTTTTTTCTAAGTAAAAGTTTACAAATTGTACAGAAAATTACTGATATGGTGGAATGATCATTTTATTTTTATTTTAAACTGGGGATTGAACTCAGCCATGGGTACTCTACCACTAAACTACACCTCCAGACCTTTTACTTTTTTTTTTTTGTCTTTTTATTTTGTAGGTCTCGCAAAATTGCCCAGGGTGGCCTGAAATTTGTGATCTTCCTGCCTCAGACTCCTGAGTAGCTGGGATTATAGGTGTGTGCCACCATGCTGACACAAATTCAAGGCAACTTGGGAAAATTGAGTGGGACAGTGTCTCAAAAATTAAAAATAAATAAATAAATAAAAAGGGACGGGGATCTAGCTCAGTAGATATAGCACCCCTGGGTTCAAGCTCTAGTACCACCAAAATAAATAAATAATAAATAAATAAATATGAAGACAAACAACAATAAGTGTTGGTGAGGATGTGGGGGAAAAGGAACACTCATACATTGCTGGTGGGACTGCAAATTGGTCCAGCCAATATGGAAAGCAGCATAGAATTTCCTTGGAAATCTGGGAATGGAACCACCATTTGACCCAGCTATTCCTCTTCTCGGACTATACCCAAAGGACTTAAAAACAGCATACTACAGGGACACACCCACATCAATGTTTACAGCAGCACAATTCACAATAGCTAAACTGTGGAGCCGAACTAGATGCCCTTCAGTGGATTAATGGATTAAAAAAAAATGGGGTATATATACACAATGGAATTTTACTCAGCAATAAAAAAGAATAAAATCATGGCATTTGCAGGTAAATGGATGGCATTGGAGAAGATAATAGTAAGTGAAGTTAGCCAATCCCCAAAATCAAATGCCAAATGTTTTCTCTGATACAAGGAGGCTGACTCTAGTGGGGTAAGGAGGGGGAGCATGGGAGGAATAGAGGAATTCTAGATAGAGCAGAGGGGTGGGAGGGGGCAGGGGATTAGCAAGGATGGTGGAATGTGATGGACACCATTATCCAAAGTACATGTATGAAGACACAGATTGGGTGTCAACCTACTTTATATACAAACAGAGATATGAAAAATTGTGGTATATATGTGTAATAAGAATTGTAATGCATTCTGCTGTTGTGTATTTTTAAAAAATCAATATAAATAAATAAATATAAAATAAAATAATAGCTGGGTGTGGTTACCCATGCCTGTAATCTCAGGAATATGAAACAGAAGGATCTCAAGTTCAAAGTCAGCAACTTAGTGAGATCCTGTCTCAAAATTTTTTTAATAATAATAATAAAATAAGAAGATGAAAGGGCAGGAGCATGTCCTGGAAAAGATAGTGAAAGGACTCGGCTGAGCATATTAAATTTTCCCATCTCCAGTGCCATCCTGCCATCCTAGTACCTTTTATTTCCAAAGCCATCTTCCCAGTTAAATTTTTTAAAAAAGGGCTGGGATGTGGCTCAAGCGGTAGCGCGCTTGCCCGGAATGCGTGCGGCCCGGGTTCGATCCTCAGCACCACATACAAAGATGTTGTGTCCACCGATAACTAAAAAATAAATAAAAATCATTTCACATAAGTCATTATTCCATTAATAACTCTAACTAGTTTAAAAAAAAATTTTTTAAAAATACTTTCCAGTTGTAGATGGACACAATACCTTTATTTTATTTATTTTTATATGGTGCTGAGGATCAAACCCAGTGCCTCACACGTGCCAGGCAAGCACTCTACCACTGAGCTACAACACCAGCTCAATTTGGGTTTTTAATAATAATTAGCATTAAATCTAAGTACTGTAATTTTTAATTCTAGCAAAAGACAAGTGCATGAATAAATAATAAGCATCATTAACTGAGTTTCCTGTCACACAAGTATTAAATTGTTGGGCTGGGATTAAAATTCATCGTCACTGGGAGAGTTGCTCAGTGCTTTTGTTCACCTAGCACATACAAGCCCTGAGTTCAATCCTCAGCACCACACATGCCTAACAAACCAAAAAGTAATCTGTCTGATCTCTGCTTCTAACAAAGATAGGTTGAAAGGGACTGGATTTATCCTCTTTAACCTCAAGATGTATTATAAAGCTCCAGTAATTAAGACAAGATGGTATTGGCATTAAGATAGACAAATTGGTCAGTGGAACAGAGAATCCAATAATAGACCCATACACTGACTTTCAACAGAGGTGCAAAGTCATTCCAAAAATGTTCCAGAACTCAGGTTTGGAGGTTCATTCATCCCACGGAAAAAAACAATGTCTAAGGGATGATGTCTTTGGGAGAAAGTCTTTATTCAGTAACCTAAGAATGGAGAGAGGGAACTTTGTTCATAAATCATTTTCCTGACTTCAGGGGACTGAGGGAGTTACAGATAGATATAGGGTCGGACTAATCAGAGGGACGGACTAATAAAAGGAAGAAATATTCTCGTCTTCTCAGTTAGGATGGTGACCTTCTAGGAACTGGAGCGCCACATTTTCTTACTCCTTTCACGGTCTGGTGGTTTTGCTTATGGTAGTTGAGAGGAGCTAGACAAGCTGAGGTCAAGTTAACCCTGTATTATAATTTTGGACAAAACATTTTTCATATGTTCAACAGGTCCACAGGCAGAACTGAGTAGAATCTGATCCAAAAGTTTAAGAAACAAAGGAGATAGACTCCATATGAAGACTGAGATGCCAAGCCTTTCCACCTCATGTCAGTCGCACATGGGATATCTGTAGGCCCAAGTGAAGGATCCATGTTTTCAGTAAAAGAAGTCTCATGTCCCTGGAGAGTAACCTAGGCAACTGTTATTACCATAACACCCACATCAGAAGGGTTATCTACAGCAGAGTTAGTGGGAGACTAATAATGTACTGCCAGCTATGTGACCTCCAAAATTACTGATTTTTAAGTCAATTAAAAACAAGTGAAGCTGGGCACAGTGGCAAATGCCTGTAATCACAGCGGATCAGGAGGCTGAGGCAGGAGGATTGCAAATTTGAGGCCAACCTCAGCAACTTAGCAAGGCCCTAAGCAACTTAGTGAAACCCAATCTTAAAAGGGGTGGGGATGTAGCTCAGTGGTAAAGTGTCCCTAGATTCAATCCCCAATACCACCCCCACACCCACCCCCACCCCCCAGAAAAGAGCAAGTGAAACTAGAGGGTTTATTTTGGTTTTCTTCATAAATGAAAGGAGAAATATACACTTTTTCAACAAATGGTGCTGGAAAAATTGGACAACCATTTTTTTTTTAGTTTTTTTGATTTTATTTTTTTAAATACATGACAGCGGAATGCATTACAATTCTTATTACACATATAGAGTACAATTTTTCATATCTTTGTATATAGAGGATGTTCATGCCAATACATGTACTTTATTTTTTTGCATTACAATTCTTATTACACATATATACCACAATTTTTCATATCTCTGTTTATATATAAAGTATGTTGACACCCAATTCGATTCTTCATACATGTATTTTGGATAATGATGTCCATCACATTCCACCACCTTTGCTAATCTCCTGCCCCCTCCCTTTCCCTCCCACCCCTCTTCCCTATCTAGAATTTATCTATTCCTACCATATTCCCCCTCATCAATGTTTATAGCAGCACAATTCACAATAGCTAAACTGTGGAGCCAACCTAAATGCCCTTCAGTGGATGAATGGATAAAAAAAAATGTGGCACATATACACAATGGAATTTTACTCAGCATTAGAAGAGAATAAAATCATAGCATTTGCAGGTAAATGGATGGCGTTAGAGAAGATAATGCTATGTGAAGTTAACCAATCCCAAAAAAACAAATGCCGAATATTTTCTCTGATATAAGGAGGCTGACTCATAGTGGTGTTTCATTCTCAAGTACTTGAGTTCAATCACCAGAAACAAAAACAAAAACAAAACAAAACATGGATTTTGATCCATACATCACCCCATATTATAAAATTAACTCATGGGCGGGGATGTGACTCAAGTGGTGGCGCACTCGCCTGGCATGTGTACCACTCGGGTTCGATCCTCAGCACCACATACAAACAGGGATGTTGTGTCCGACAAAAACTAAAATAAATAAATAAATATTAATAAATAAATAAATAAAATTAACTGTTGGGCGTAGTCGTGTATGCTGTGGTACCAGCTGGAGCAGGATCATTTGAGCCCACAAGTTGAGACCAGCCTGAATATAGGGAAAACCCTGTCTCAAAAAAAAAAAAAAAAAAAAAAAAAAATTAATCAAAGTGTATCATAAACCTAAATATAATGCTAAAAACTATGAAATGTGGAAGAAAAAATAGAAGAAAATCTTTGTGACTTCAGGTTAAGCAGTGATTTCCTAAATACAACACTGAAAGCATTGATTCACTTTAAAAATTGATAAATTGAGCCAGGTGTGGTGCACACATGTAAAGCCAGTGACTCAGGAGGCTAAAGCAGGAGGATCACAAGTTCAAGGCTAGCCTGAACAAAGAGGTGAGATCCTGACTCAAAAAAAAAAAAAAAAAACAAACACAAAAAGGGCTGAAGTGTAGCTAAGTGGTATAGCACTTGCCTAGCATGCCTGAGGCCCTAGATTCAATCGGCAAAAACAAAACAAAATGGAAAACCATGTATATTCACAGCAGTATTATTTTTAACAGTCCCAAACTACAAGCAAACCAAAACCAAACCAAATGTTTGACAATCAAGATAAATGATCAACAAATGGAATATTTGTCAAA